CTACTCTGTGGTTCTCTGAATATCTTTTATGCAACCTGCTTTTACAGGTTTAAATTACATTCTGTGACACTGTTTTTGTGGTTGAATTAGAAACTTTTTTTTTTTTTTAGTTAAACCTGTGATAAGTAATTGTCACAGTTAGCGCCCTGGTGCAATGCTAATTTGAAGTGACATGTCCATACTGGCCCTTCGTAACATGAAGAAGCCTAACAGGTGTGAGGGGTGTGGCTTCCCATGGGCTCTGTTGAACTTCTAACCAGAGAAAAATAGCAGAAAAAGTGAAATGAACCTTGAATAAAGCTGTCAGCAGTAATTATCTCAGCAACACTTTGAGGGGAGATAAAATAAGCACTGGTGCTTTTATAACCTGAACACACTGCACCCAGGATAGATTTTTCACCCATTTAACATAAACTGCTGAGTACCTTTCAAGAGATATTTTCATTGAGCCTAATTAAACAATAACAATTATCATTAAATATGAATTGTTGGAGGACATGCATTTGTTTTTATTTTAACACATGGTTTCTTTTGTGTGTTTGTTTAAGTAGTTTTGGTAGCAGAACTATCCCCCCCACCTCCATGCTTCTGGTTTTGATAAGCATTATGGTGTGAAATCTCAAAATAGAAAATTATATTATCTTTTGGGAAAGGATACTTTCACAGTTAGAAAAATGCTTCAAGGTTTGGCTTTCAGTTACTTTGAGACGTGTTCAGTGTATTGGCCTGGCCTATATGAAACAGGATAATATATGTTAATGAGATGGATGAACTTCAAGTCATCATACCACCACTGCTGCCTGTACTTCCTTGGAGCGGTATACATGCACTATACTTCTTGAGTGGAGTAGGAAGAACCCAGGGAAGGTTTGATAAATCTGTTTCAGTCTGTTCTCCAAACACCATTATTGTTGTTTTCTTTGAAAGCATTATTTTTAAAGTATACTTTAATACACTTACAGAATAATTCAGATGACATAATGACTATGTTTGCCTTACTTGAATGGAAATATAAAAGTTAAAGTGTGATTTTCTCCCCCCCTAACATATATCCAGGCTATAGAAGCTCTCTGGGCAAAAAGACAGATGAGATTTTGCAACATAAATAACTCTATTTCTTTCACCACCTTTAAATAGAGTATGGTTTCAGATAATCTAATGACATATAGAGACCAATTTTTTTTTAATAGTTTAACTTTACAATGTTTCTGCATCCAACAAATAAGAGGCTTAGCAAGCTCACATTTAAAGTGGAGGTGATGTCATTTAAAAACAACAACAACAACAACAACTAGGAGTCTACATATGTTTCTCCTGACTCTGCTATATTTATTAGCTCTGTGATCTGGGGTGAAAAGAATCTCTCTTTTCTTTTCTGTGGAATGGGACTGTGAAAACTATACCAGGTGCATTCTTACTAAGGGGTAACAAGGATTAATTGTAACATAATAAAATAGAGGTAACATGGTCTACACTATATTCACAAACCTATAGCTTAAAAAGCTTTTAACTTCATCCAAGCAGAAACTACTTACCACTGGCTGTATCCCTAGCACTCAGCTGTGTTCTTGGCAAATAAAGGATGCTCAGTGACTCTTTAGTTAAATGAATGAACAATAGTACTTTGTACTCTACTTAAAACAAATTTAGTACTACCTGTCTGTTCCCCAGATTTATGTAGCTGAATTTTTACCATCAATCATATATAATTATAATTGATGATAGAAATTTAGCTATATATAA